GCTGGAGCGGGCTCCTGAGGCTGTCCGCCGCACCGGCCCCCCGTCACGCCCCTGCCTTAACAGTCGCTGGAGGGAAGGGCTGCGGGTCCGTGCGGGAGTGCAGCCCCGTGACTGTGTCCTGGCAGGATGGCATCAGGCGTGGCCGGCCGAGAGCTGACACCGTCCGTGACCTGATCAGCGAAGGCGAGCACTCCTCCAGCAGAATCCGGTGCAATATCTGCCACAGGGTCTTTCCACGAGAGAAGTCGCTGCAGGCCCACAAACGAACTCACACCGGTGAGTAGAGTGAAGGTGGGACTTGCTGGCATCAGCTGCTTGGGAAAGCAGAAAACAACAACAAAAAAAGAGAAAAACAAAACAAAAAAAGATCCAACAAACTCAACCTGTTAATATTTTATTGCAACTGTTGAATTAATCATACTTTTCTTCTGAGGCTTGTAGGTGCAATCCAAGACTTTGTGACCATGTTTGTCATGGGAACGTGTAGCAGTGACTCCAGCTATAGCAGTATGAGCAAACTGTGTAAATATTTCATCTGCTGCTGTCCTAGTGTGTCAGAGGGAGAACTTCTCTTGAGCTTGGTGCTCAGTACATGGTAGCGCTTTTGATTCTGCATCTTCTCTGTGATTAGTTCCTTCTTGATGGTGTATTTTTCACACAGCAGCTGAAGTTTAGGTGCAAAAGGAGACACTAAAAAGTGGCTGGTAACTTGGACAGTGTGGTACCCTAGAAGTGTAGCTTAAATGTTGAGAAAAGGGTTTAGATGCTTACAGTCACCATCCAGTTGTCCCTCCTACCACCTGCAATTCCCTTTGTGGGGTGGAGGGGGTCACACTAATTTACTGAACTTTATGTAGAAGACAACTCACAATTAAGTTAAAATGTAGGATGAAGCCACTCAATCCCCAGCTGAGCCTAAACTGGAGATGCTGTTTTTTTAAACCAAGCAAATAAATTTTTTGTCTTCATGTTCCAACAAGACTCTGTATTTGCAATAAAGTGTTAATAAATGTAGCTCACAATACCAACGTAATGCCCAAACCAAACAAACAAGGCCCCAGAAAAACCTTGGCTTCAGTGGGCTCTTGTTCTGACTCAAGTCACTAAGACTAATCTAGATACTAATATTAAACAGCAGTTTCCTTTGGTCAAAGTATGTTCTTGTTTCACTTGGTTGTATTAGGTGTTGAACTTGCATGAGATACCTAACTGAGCAGAGTTTACCTTGGTGTAAGTAAGTCTCTGTCTTAGTAAGCCAGCACCCCGCCCCTTTTTGCTGTCCTTCCTGAGGAGCGGTGGCTCGGTCTGCCTTTGCACACAGTCAAATCTTCTTGCAGGAGACACCTGCCATCTCTGTTCTTCCTGTTGCACTTTCCATGAGGGAGTCTTCCTTGATGACTGATCTTGATGATGACTTTCTTGGCTTAAGAATATGTTTCTCTTGCTGGCTCCATTTATCCATTACAACTTTTACCAAGGAGTATTCCCTAATGGGATACTTTCATAACTTTGTATGTTACCATACTGTTGACCTGTTATTTTACCCTAGTTCAGGCTATGTTAAGGATAAAATTTATCTGGTTACAACTTGAATTATGTTTCTTGTCCATTTAGTCATTTCACTTCATATATTTCTTGCTCTATAGGTGCATAGTTTAATGGGACAGAGCTTATGTAGTGCTGTGCAAGAGGCTTAAATCAGAGAATATGACAGGGAAAAATAAATTGTTTGTTTGTTTGTTTGTTTTCCACTATGGAAATAATTGTATTATCGAGTAGCACTGAGCATATATTTCAAAGTAAAGATCTTTTTGGGGTAAAAGTGTATCTCTGCTATTTGGTACACCAGTGCTTTTTAAGTAGGTGCAAGCATCTGAGCGTGTAGAAGCTAAGCTCTCTTGTCTAAGCCTGGAGCCAGGGACCACCACTGGATACTATAATTCTTCTTTTATATTCAGCTTTTAAAAATCTGTTCTGTTATTTTTAAGGTGAAAGGCCTTACTTGTGTGACTACCCAGATTGCGGGAAAGCCTTTGTTCAGAGCGGGCAGCTCAAAACTCACCAACGTCTCCACACAGGGGAGAAACCTTTCGTCTGCTCAGAGAATGGTGAGCCATCACAAAACAATTTGCAGCTAGGCTCAGTCTAGTACTGGAAACGTATGCGTGTTCACATGGCAAAGATCCATAAAAGCCTTGGATTTTAATTTTGGAGGAGCTCCTCGGCAAGGGAGGAGCACACAGAATCTGCATAATCATGCAAATATGTATCTAAGGATTGCATACATTATTATGTCAAGTAGGTTATCAGTAGTTCTGTCAGTTGATGGTAATGCATAAAACAATGGGGCATGTTAACCCCGTCTAGTGGAAAGTGTCCGTGCCCATGGCAGGGAGGTTGGAACTAGATGATTTTTAAGGTCCCTTCCAACCCAAACCATGTCAGGAACCTTAGAACTAGAGCTTGCTGTCAACCAAACCTAGGGTTTTGTGAATGAGGAAAGCTGGATTTGGCAGCATCTTCATCCCACAGATGTTATAGTTACTGGTTGGTTGGCTGTTTTCTCTAACGTGTTTTTCATTGTCACTTTGTGCTTTTTAAGGCTGTTTAAGCAGATTCACGCATGCAAACCGTCATTGCCCCAAACATCCGTATGCCCGACTGAAGAGGGAAGAGCTCACAGACAGGCTGAGTAAGAAGCAGACAGCTGACAATCAAGCTGTGGCTGAGTGGCTAGCAAAGTAAGTTCCCTCATGGTGTCATCTTTCTCTAAATACTTATAAGGGTGGTCTGAGAAATCATTTTATTCCTAGGGGCAAAATAAAAATCTAACAGACAAAAACCAGCTGTGCATCCAGTACAAATTGTCCTGGCCTTGCCTTTCCTTAAAGAAGTGCAAATTCCTGGTCAAGATAAAGTTCCTCATGAGACTTTTCTTTCTCTTTTTTGTTTGGCTGTGGTTTTGTTTGTTTGTTTGTTTGTTTGGGTGTTTTTTGGTTGTGTTTTTTTTAGCCTGCTTAAATGCTTCTCTTTTCTTGGTCAACACCTGCTAATACCTTGCTCACTTTTGCTGAATTTGCATCTGTATGAGTGGTGACAGTTGTGTATGCCTAGGGAGAAGTGCCTGCTGGGAGCACCAAGTAGAGGAGAAATCTGTTACAGATGTTCACTTGGGCTCTTTACACTTAAAAGTATTGAATAAAGGAGGCTTCTGTCAGCTTAAATAAAACCATTAAAGGGCTGAAAGATAAAGCCAAATGTAGTGCTTGGTTGGATGCAAGCAAGTATTTGGGAGGTTTCTGCCAACTTTGAATTGATGGTGTGTGAGTCAGCTGGATGTATTTTAAAAGCACTCCCCACATTTGATTTTGTAGATACTGGGAGACCAGAGAACAGCGTGCTCCTGCTTTGAAAACTAAAACAATCCAGAAAACAGATCAGGAACAGCAGGACCCAATGGAATATCTTCAGTCTGATGAAGAGGATGATGAAGAGAAAAACAGTGCTCGTTCAGCTGCCCGCCGCCGCCTCCAGGAACAGCGTGAACGCATGCATGGCGCACTGGCTCTCATTGAGCTTGCAAACCTAGCTGTGGCACCCCTTCGACAGTAGATAGGAAGCACAGTAGATAGGAAACGAGTCTGCTTATACAAAGTGTACTTCCTGGTGGTACTTAACCAGTTAGATCCTGGGCATAAGCTAAGCACCTTATTTGCTTATAATAGGCTGCTATTCTGTAGAATTTATGAAGAATGTTGTTGCTCCATAACATGGGGTGAGAGAATTGCACTTTTTGTAAGGTAAAAGATAGATGTAAGTTTCTAAGTATTTTGTAAATATAGGTCTGCATAATGCAGGGTTGACAAGTTAACATGTTGTGGGAAGCTAGATTTTGCAAGGTTAACTCATTTATTTGAAGCAGTTTTCACAGGAAGCACTTTCTGAACAAAGTGTTTGTGATTAGCAGAATGGTACCTGTGGCCAAAGAAGGCTGAGAAAAAGAAAAGTATTTATAGACTGTTTTAAGGAAATTTATATTAAGTGCTAAGTCTGAAGATATTGTTAAGCAGCAAGGAAACTGTGTTTTTTTAATGTCAGTATATATTTCCCTAGTATCATTGAGGCAGAGGTCAAAGCTTGCTTATTTCAATTTGTAGCGGGGAAGAAACTGCTTCATGCAGAAAACTGTGAGATTGTTCAAGATCGTCACTGTGACTGCTCAAGGTATGAGGCTTGACTTTGCTGTTTTATATTTTCTGATTTGATTTCAGCCGAATCTCTTGGTAGCACTTGTTATGCCTAACGCGATGTTAGGAACTTTTGCACATTGTTGGTTTTATCTGAAAATGATTAGTCTTGCAAGGTCTAGACAAAGGAAAATAATTGGTAATATTTTTTGAGATATTTTTGGACCCTGTAGTGATTTGGCACTTGATTTTGTTAATAAAGGGGGTATTTACAGGGTGGAGTGGATTTGTAGTAAACTATTGTAGATCTCCTATTAGCAAACACTAAGTTTTAAAGTATTGCTTTTATATGATTATTAGCAAATAGAAGCCTCCGTGCTTTCCGTGCATAAAGCCACCTTATTGCTTTACTTCAGGATAACATGACAATTTTGTGTTCATTAACTGTAGCACAGCTATCAATAAAACACTGCAGAAAAGTATTCACTATACAACTAGAAAATAGGCTTACAAAGATAGTTACAAGTGTGTTAACAGTGTGATTTCATGTATTTCCCAAATGAAGTTACAGAATGCTGCCTAGTACTCAGATGCTGATACAAAATATTTAGCAGGATATCTTGTCACTTTGTGAGTGTTGTATACTTTCAAACAGCATTGTCTCATGGTGATCTTTTTCTGTATTTTGCTTTGAAGGCAACCAGAGATTCCTAATATGCTAATGAAACTTTGTTTTCAGATTGGACTTCTTGTTATGTGGTTGGTTGGTTGTTTTTTGGTTGTTTTTTTTTTTTTTGTTTTTTTTTGTTTTTTTTTTTTTTGTTAAGCAGCTACTGCTTTAGGGGATATTAATAATTTGTATTTACTGACCTGCTTGCTTTAACTGCTTCCTCGTTGAAGAAGGAGTTTCAGATGAGAAGGGAAGCCACTGTCCCTCTCGCATAAACAAGAGGAAGAAATAATTTTGTCCATCACTTGATATAGACTGACCAGAAGCATACAGCTGTTCCAGTAAAGTTGCATGATTTTACACCAGAAACTGCAACCGTTGGATTATGTTCTCTGATAACCGATAACCTGTTGTGGTTGAAAATCTCATTAACCCAGTTTGTTTACTTAAAGTGTTCTATACAAGATTTAAAGAGTAATTGAATAATTAAAAAAAAATCCCTTTGAATGTAAATAATTTTGTACCAGTGATACGGTTTAACTTTTGCTTTTACCTCCTAAACTTACCTGTCATCAGGCTCATTTGTTTCTGTTTCAAGTCTTTGAGGCTTAAAAATATGAAACACTGTGGTCACTCTAGGCTTCTTAGTCTATGTAAAACTGGTAATTTGCATGTGTAGGTTTGGAGTTTCTAAAGTAAGTTCCATGCTTTTGACTGTTCAGTTGGTGCATGCAAATAGTCTGATCCCAAGATGCACTCTGAGCACAGATCTGTTTTACTTCTGAGTCATAACTCAGAATTGCTCCTAAGTAGTACTTCACAGGGCACAAAACTGTGTAATTACCAGCAAGTTGCAGACTGGAGTCGTAACTTACATCATTAGGATTGATTTTCATTTTTTTTTCCCCAGTCAGCTGTAACGCTTCAGGCAGCTCACAGAATGTTTCTTCAAATATGACAAGTACAGTGAATTGTACTTGGCTGTAGACAGCTGGAGCAGTTTTGTGTTGCGAGAAGTTTTGGGTGAAATATCAAGTTAAAAAAAAAAGATGTGAAAGGCTGCTTTTTTTTTAGTAAAAAGTGATTACATACGAAATAATGAAGTGTTCAGTGCTTCAAGAGATCAAGTTGTAGTTTGGCATGACTTAACAGCTGAGAAGGGGATATGTTGTCATTTTCATAGATGCTTTGAATAAAAATTTGTTTCAAGTTTAGTATGTGCTGTTTGTTAAATACCTGGTCTCTTCCTTGTTTCTGCAATCCTGTCAGCCTGACCTGCTCCAGAGCATGAAGGCATTTATTTCCCCTGCCTGCTGAAATCTGGCACAAGCTACCCACCCAGGGCACATTTTTCAGAGCTTTTTTACAGTTTGACAAACTCCTGAGAGCGCCCTGGAGCCAAGCGCGGGCCCGCT